CCATTAATGATTAATCAATATGTCAGATTATATGTCTTGATCTTTAAAGGGCACTTTTTCCACCGCACATTGCCGAACATTTCATGGAACATTGCTACGATAATGTTTTTAAGCAAAATATTCGGCAATGTGCGCCGGGCTTTAGACAGTCAAATACTATATAACTGATATTTGTATTAACAAATCTATACATGTTACCTGCGAAGAAGGGAATAATGGGTTAGCATGGTACTGTAGAGGATGTCAACGTGGGGTGAAAAAATTATCAGATATGTTTTAAGTCATGATCACCAGGCAGATCAAGACAGAAGAAAATGTAGAGATGCTGAAAGCCACACAAGTTGGCATGAAGGATACGATCAGAGAACTAGAAATAAAATTAGACCTCCTCCAAAATAATGCGCCATCTGCACCAGAAGTTATCAGAGAACTAAAGGAACGAGACCGACGTCAAACTTCACTGATGCTCTTTAACATCCCAGAGAGTGAAGAAACAACACCCGCAGACAGAGTCAGTCATGATTCTAAGGAGCTAAACAACTTAATCTCAGATAAACAAATAAACAAATAATTAGAGTCAGGGCAAAAAAACGAAGATGGGGCCCCTCGGCCCATGAAAGTAACTTTCGAAAAGAAGGGGGATCCCCCTGCACTAATGCAGGCACTGAAGAAATTTGACATCGCTACAAAAAAGATGAAATTCCAGATGGCACCAGACCTCACTCCGATGCAGCATGAAGAAGGAAAAATCTTAAGAGAAATGAGAACTCAAAGACAGGCAGACCAAATCAAGCAAACAGATAAAGATAGACAAAGTGAAACAATCCTGGATTGGAACAATCAAACTACCCATGGCTTCAAATACTTCTACAGCAACATAGATACATTCTTCAATAAAAGATCTGAAATTCTCGCCATGGTTGACGAAACTTCTCCCGACATCATAGGTCTGGCTGAAATAAAATCTAAAACAACAGACGACAGCCCAGGATAGTCCCCGATACGAATGCTGCTCTGATATGACGGGAAATCCAGGAAGAGGTGTAGTCATGTGGTCAAAATGCAGTTTGAATGCTACACAAATCGATCATGAATGCCCAATACAAGTGCATGACAGTATCCTAGACAACAATACGCAAGGGCTTAGATTGCATAGTCTCAAACTTTACAAACGCCAAGTGAACCACACGTTCAAAAAGAAAGCATTTACTGATTTAGCTAGTTTTAGAACCGTCAACAATTGGAACTCCTTACCCGAAAAAAGAATAACATCAAAAACTATAAATGAATTCAGAAACAAAATTGACAGGCACGGGTCCCACCTGCAATATGACTACCTTAACTATAGATACAATAACGTAACCCAACACAAGGGTAGGGTTACAACGCGAGCCTATTCTTTTCTTTGGAGGCGCCCCCGAGTGATTCACTCAGGGCGGTTTTATGGTGCATTTTTCAAGACTAGAACTTCCAAACTGAGGGATCATCCGGTGGCTGCTCCCCGAGCATCCACGACCGTGGATTGGAGCGCCGTCATGGTGGCTGCGACGGAGGCCGCCAGGAGGAACCCGGCGCCTGCGCCTGAGGTCGCCAGGAGACAATGGAGTCCGGCGCCAGCAACACGAGAGGGGCGACGGGAGTCACCTCATTGCCACCACACCCAGAGAGGAGCTGGGCAAGACCGCAGTGGACAGGGGCTTGAGAGGAAGGCCACGAAGGTCACCTCTAGACCCCACCCCGGCGCGGCAAGGGGACGGGCAGGAGCCCACCCCAGGGAAAATCCGGCCCCACCTGCCACCCTGGTGAGAAGAATGGCTGGGCCCCTGTACCGGCAGAGGCATTTGTCCACCGGGAGCAGCTTCGGCAAGGGGCGGGGCCGACATACCCGCGCTTCGGAGGGGCCATCGTGATCGCTCCCCATCTGCAGCACGGGCGGTGGTATTGGTGCCTGGCATGCCAGGTGCCCACCATGCACGGCGTGGATCACCATGCAGAGTACCACCGCAGTGCCTGCACCCTGATGTGGTGCCCGGTGCCTGGGTGCTTAATGGCCATGCCCAGCGCCGTGCTCTACCGGCTGCGAAGCCACCTGCAGACGGCGCATCACCTCGGGTGTGACCACCATTATGAGATGCCCAGGTGGATGCAGCTGCGGGGCGCCGACAACCCCAACCACCTGAAGTCGACAAGCGGGTACCTGGAGCTGCAGGAGGATCAAGGCGAGGCCAGGGAGGTGGCGCCAGCAGCAGCATCACAAGCTCGCCCCATCACCCGACCGGCGTGGAGAGACGGGCAGCCATACGCGGCAGTGGTGGCAGGCGTTGCGGCCAGGCCTGTGGCCGCCCCCAGCCATCCCTGAAGCGGGAGGCGCCCATCGCTGCCCCCCAGACGCATAAGGTGCATGAGGAGGCAAGCGACGGGAAGAAGAGCGTCGAGGGAGCGGGTGCCGCCCGAGAGACCGGTGAGGAGCCGACCATTGCCCGCCGCGGAAGGACGAGCACCGTCGTCCGCACCCGAGGTGACGCCCACGCCGACCTCGCATGCGAGGCCTGCGCCGATGGGAGTGGAGGCACCACTGGAGGTGCCCGCATCATCAGAAGTGCCAGCTCAGCTGCTGGCGACAATGCGCGCACTGGAGGCGCCTGGGGCACCCCCTGAGAGCGACCCCATTCCAAGCATCACCACGGGGGAGTTTAACGAGTTCCTGGGGTTGCCCTTCCAGCCCCCAGCCGACCTTCCAGCGTGGGATTACCCCAGTTTGAGCGACCCGGACGGCGGGCCAGCGTTCGACCGGCTGGAGCATATGGGAGTCCGCCAGCTGCACCAGGCACTTTCCTGGGGTAGTGCCCAGCGACGTCGCATCGAGAGCCTGGAAAGGCGCGCTCATGAACTCCTGGAGGTGAAGACCCGCATCGTCCTGCGGTCAATGGTTATCGCGGGCCAGGAGATGGGGGATGCTGCGCGGAGGTAGACCTTCCACGTCGGGTGCCGGTACACCGGCATGCGCGTCTTGGGATCGACCTAATGGTCGATCTTGAAGAGGGGAGGAGTGTGGCGGTGATACCGGTTGCCACGGCCCCTCGGCTGGCAGGGATTGAGCTTGCCCGCTCGGGGGATTAAATGTTCTATGTTTGTAATTGGTTCTATGTTTGTAATGTCTTTCTGTGTGTTTTGTGTGTGTTTTGGAGCGTATTGCAGCAGTTACTCACTCACCGCCGCATTCTATGGGGGCTGCCATTAGTCGCGATTGTAACCCCCTCTAGCGCCCGAGAGCGGAGCTAGCGTAGAAAACAGCTGGCGCCGCGAGAGCCGTGTGCAAATAGCGTGGTTCGTGGCGTTTGTTTTGGAAGCGTCGAGCTGCGATACAGAGTTCAGCAGAGATACAGAGTTCAGCGGAGATATAGAGTTTAGGAGGTTAGGAGCTTGGAAGTGGAGTGTGCAGCGTACGAGCGGCTGCCCAGTGCGTCCGAGCGAGAGGGAGCACGAGTGAAGACCAGAGACTAGAGAGTGAGTACAGCGGGCTGTTTCGGCACACCGTCGGGGCTTAATTTACGGTTACAGTAATAGTAATAAATGCCTGGTAAAGTTAACGGCAATAGCAGTATTAATAGTGACTTAATAGACGTCACCAGACGTATTTAGTATCCCCCTCGAGTAGCAGCCTTAGACGCATCGGGCGTGAGTGCGCCCCTTGTGTGAGTCGCCGTACGGGTGTACTGTCATCCGGCTGCCTAGCCCCCCCCTTACACGTTAAAGTAATATCTCACGAATAGCCCCGCGTCATAAGGTGTGCCGTGTTGTGTTGTGTTACTGTCTGTCCTGTGCCGTCCGTCGTCTGGCATTGCTGACTAACTGCATCCGGAGCCGGAACGAACGCTGGAGTGAACGTGTCCGAGGAGAGCGCAGTAGCACAGAGGCGCTCGTGAGGGAGTGGAGACCGGGTGGCGACGATACGACACGCAAGGTAGGAGTATCTATCTTGTATTTCTCGTTGCCACTATCCACCGTGTTGCACTGCACCATACGTAAGGTAAACCGCTCGTTACTGCGTATTGTCAGGTGGCGCCCTCAGGTGTCGCGGAGAGACACAAAATGCTACAATAGCTACTGGCACAACCTCAAGCAAACACAAACCATTCATATTGACAATCATGTTGACATCCACTTATATAATCACTTACATATGGTCAGGTCAAGGTATAGATGCGATGCACAGGATGCTACGGTCATGAGCACGTACATGTGTCATAAAACAGTCATGATAAAGAAAGAAGTCAGGGTGTACGTGTTATGCTAGGCCTAATGCCATGGTAGCTACTGCACAACCGCCTCGGCGTGCAACACAGTTTCTTGGAGGTATACTTACCAGGCGGTTCGTCCACACATGATCTATTTCTTGCGGGTGATCAGGTCTCTAACCTTTATGGCTGTTAAACCAGCAAGAAATCGTACCTACACACTTGTGTTTACACTTAGAAATGTTAAATTAGTTCAACAACAACACGACCAAGTTGTCTATGGTCTCGCTTTATAGACTGGATACCTATATCTATATTTAGTCTTGCTAATGTATATCAACTGAGTTAAGAGATAAGGGTGCCCATCTTAACGTCACACAACCGCCCACTCGTACTATTTATCCTTGATTCGCCCGGTCACATAAAACCTGCTCATTACAACTTATTTATGCATAGACATAATGACATTATTGTTGTCATACATTCATCAGTAAATATTTAATAATTATCTACTCACGACTGTTTTCTGGTGTACACAATTAATAAGTCATCTGTACGGCTGGTCGTCCGGGTCTATGCATTATGTAATCCCCCGGGTGACCGGTCATCCGCGACAGGTCCATGTGTGCTCGCGATAAAGATGTCAGCGCCCATGTTAGTCCAGGAGCACGAACCTTGACATTTTCGTTTCGTTCAACCATCACTACATCTAAGGTTTGACTTGACAGGATGGTCGAATAGACCCCCTAGAACACCCCCAGGTAGTATGTAGTCTCAAATTGTGGTATCAGTTTTGTGCTAGAAGACATTTTATAGACAAGGGTGGGTGACGCGACACCGTTAAAAAATGTGGGGTATAAATAACATAACAACTCATATCTTTGCTAATAATCAACCAATTTTAATGATTTTGGTACCAATGGGTCCGTCTTAGAAATTGCTACCATAAAAAAATGTTAACCTACTTAAGAGGTCACTTAAGAGGTCACTACAGGTCACTACAGGTCAAAAGGTCACGTGACGGGCATTTTTCCTTAAACTGCAGTAACGATTGCCAAATATAAATAAAATGTTCTACCAAATTTAAATGTTTTGGTACCAAT